TTTATTAGGATTAATAAGAGGGAGAGCGATTATAGCAGATTGTTTGTGTGATTGTTTGACTGTTTGTATTTGTTTTAATTTGTGTTTGACTATTTGTAAAAAGATCTAAACCCAACTCTAGTCTCAATTTGTGTTTGACTGTTTGTATTTGTTTTAATTTTGTATAGATAACACATGCTCCTAGATTTCCTATTCTTTCAGAGTTGGCTCGTGATGTGTTGGCCATTCCAATTTCTAGTGCGGTGTCGGAATGTGTGTTTAGCACCGGTGGTCGTATTCTTGATTCATTTAGGAGTTCATTGGGGCTCCTAAATGGGTGCAAGCTCTTATTTGTGTTCAAGATTGGTTTAGAGAAGAGAAGAATCCTATTAGTGTTGAAGAAGACTTGGAGTATCTTGAGGAACTCGAGCTTGGTAAGCTTTAATTTTTTTGTGTATTTTAGTTCAAAATAATATATTACACTTGTTTATTTATATGACATAATTGGTCGAATTATCTTTAGATATGGAAAATAATGGAAGCACTACTACCATTATTTGATCACTTTGATGTATAGTTGCAACTTGAGTGGTGAGTTTACTACTCTATTTGTTTGGTGATATACTTTTGTAGTTTTGTTCTTTTACCATCAAAAAATAATATTCTAACTTGTGATTTTATCTTCTTTTTTAGGTTCAAGTTCAATCATGCCCCGTGCTCCAAAAGTACGCTCTCATGTTTGGGAACACTTCCAGAAATTCGTATTCAAGCCTAAGTTGATTTTGTTGCTACTTGCCTGCTTATTAGTTAAACTTACAACTTTATGTTGTGCGGAATGGCAGTAGCCAGTTGGTTTGCAAACTTTGCATAATGTTGTTGTTGTGACTTGTGAGCCTGTAACACTTTAGTTGTTATTACTTAAAGTGTAAGCTTGAATTCTGTTTGGCAGGTTTGTCTATGTGTTTTTGTTGCATTGTGTTTAATGTTGCTGCTACTCATTAGTGGTTGCATGATGCATCTGCGTAAAGTGTAAGTTTGAATTAAAATTTCTGCTACTGGGTTGCTGCTCATAGTTCAGTATGATTTTGCAGTCCATGTTTGGCTTATTGGTGCTGAATGCTGATGCCTCTACATTTGATTCATTCCGGAAAGATTTTTCTTTTAGTCAGAATCTTTCCTTGCATATTCTTATTACAATTACAATTAGTCATTATCTTTTCTTTTACTGGTTTTAGCCAGTAGGTCCTTCGATTCCTTTCACAATGTCTCAAGTGTATAATAGCAGCATTACTTACGAGAAATGAAAGGAAAGATTTTCCTTAATTAGGAATGCGCTTCAATTTTATTTCGACTTGCTAAGGCTCTTAGAACATAGCAGTTAGCAGTACGTGACAAATTTATATGTATCAAACCGAAACCGTACCGAAATCGTAACGAACCAAACTAAGATTTATCGAACCGTACCGAATNAAACTAAGATTTATCGAACCGTATCGAATTACTTTGGTACGGTATTTGGTATACACAATTGATAAATCGAATACCGAAATACCGAACCGAAATTCTTAATAACGAACCGAAGTACCGAATGCTCACCCCTATTCAAAACTATACTGGAAGACTTCATAATTGTGTGACGTAAAGAAATTTAGGGTCTATTTGGAAAATCACCAAAAAATAATTGGATTTGAGTGTAATTGGAGGTATTACACAATTTGACATGTTTGTCAGGTCAAGTAATTATTTGATCAGCCGTGAATTGGGTGTTTGTCCCCCATCCCCCCCCCCCCCC